CCCCCTCTCCCCTACCAACCCTCCTCGCCCCACTCCTCGGTCCTCTCCATACGCTGTCACCAAATGTTTTCTTAGGCCTCTGAACCGTAGAGAAAGTAGAGGCACAGGAGGGGAGGAAAAAACGAAAGAGAAAAAAAAAACTGGTAAGTCGGCCGTAACTTATAGCATGATTTAATTTTTTTTCTTTTCTATTTTCTTCTTCTTTTTTTTTTAGTCCGTGTCGTTGTCTGGTGTGTCTCACGGTAGTCATAAGTCTCATGACGCCTGGGTTATGTTTATCTAAGATCCACGTTAAGTTCCGAGCTTTGAGACACCGTGAACTTTATCTAAGAGACAGTAACTCAAGAGATTTTGTCTGGAAGAGATGTCGTATCGTAGGGACGAGACGTAATCCATAAGGATGAGACGCTTGAATTACGAGTGGTATAAGAAGCCATAAGACACCGTCGTTACGAGACCTTATAGTCAAGAGAGATCGTAGTTAAGTGTAACAGCCAGTAGTTACGAGACCTTATTTTTGAGACAACGAAAGGAAGACTAGACTCGTTACCCAGTAGGCTATATTCTTTCTATGAGATAAAACGTTTTAGTTGTCAGATATTGTAGTTACGAGACATCATAATAACGAGATGTCATAGATAAAGACAATATACAACGAGATATCTCAGTTACGAGACACGATAAGAGAACGAGACGTGTGCGAAGGGGTGGGAGAGAAGGAGGTAGGAGGAGGAGGAGGAGGAGGAGGGGGGGTAGGGAGTACACCTCGTTAGGGCCGAGTCTGGTTGTTTTACACAAACCCTCAACTGATCCTCACAAAGACGTTCAAGTGTTTAGAAATGGCATTGAACATTGCAAATAAGCTTACTTCAAATATCATAGTTTGGGCTTCGCTGTTGTCTTAGCAAATAAAGAGTCAAATAGCTCAACCGACCATACCACCCGCGTCTCGCCAACAAAAAAAAAAGTAAAAAAAAAAATCCCAGCATTTTTTAAGAGGGATAAAATCATTAGTATGGATAACAGGGTCAGAAGCATTTACTGTAAGTCATCTACGTTTGACTTTGGTGTAGAGTGAAGAGTGTGTGTGTGTGTGTGTGTGTGTGTGTGTGTGTGTGTGTGTGTGTGTGTGTGTGTGTGTGTGTTGAATTTTAGGCATGGTAAAGACAGATCGTATATTTTCAATGTTTACTTTGGTTAATATATTCAGATATACATTATACAAACTATAAATGTATAGAATGTATATTAACCTAAATAACCTAACCTAACCTGACCTAATTTATCTTAACCTAATCTAACCATAATGTAGTTTAGATTAAATTAGCTAATGTTAAGATAGAGAAGAGTGTCGTATAAGAAAGCGTGTTTTACGATAATAAATACATTGATTTATATAAGAGAAAAAACAATTATTTCCCTGCCACAAGACAATCCACTTCGTTTAAAAGACTTGGACGAACGATTAATTGTGTTTACGCGACCCTCCGCCTCAAAGAAGAGAATAAGTTTAGTTCACTGAAAATTTAAATCATTTTCCCTGAACTAAGGTTGGATATTGTCTTCCTCTACCGTCGCCTGTTGGAAATATTTTACATACTATTGGTTTATTTAATTTTTTTTTAAACACATTTGCTTACATGTGATAAGAATTACAATCACGATTCGAAGACTCTCCAGCTCTACAGGTGAGGGACGAGAACCTAACACGTAGCAGACAATTAACTAGGTAGTGTATGATTCTCCAGTTGTCTCAATAGGTTAAGACCCAACCCACCTGGAAGAAGTAGTGCCCCAGAGTGAACACATTAACACAAACATATATTAATGGCCCAGGTCTTCTACTTTGACGCCTTCCGGTTCTTTCTTGAGCTTGATGCCTTCCACCTCAGCTGTACTCAGGGGGAGATGGATAAGTGAAAGGATAGAACCTCATGTATAATCCTACTCCTACTGCTTACTATCCTTACGGGGGAGAAGTGTAATTCCGTCTGGATGCTTGTTCAAGGACCGGTAGATCTGTGATTCCCTGTGAGTTGGGCAGCCCTCAGTAGTCAAACTCCTCTTGATGATATCATTAACTTTATTATGTCCCATAATCTAACCAGGGCTGTGGAGTCGGAGTCGGAGTCGGAGTCGAGGAGTCGGAGGAAATTTCGGCTTGTGGAGTCGGGTC